TCTCTCTCTCTCTCTCTCTCTCTCTCTCTCTCTCTCTCTCTCTCACACACACACACACACACACACACACACACACACCTCAAACCCTTTCCCCTTCCTTCCCCCTTCTACCTCCCTCCCCCTCGCACCCAATTCTCCTACTCTACCCCCCCTCTCCTCCCTCCATCCCATAACTCACTCACTCTCACTTTCATCGCTCGTGTGGTCGCTCCGCCACTTGCGGGCAACTCTCCCTCCTACAGCTCCACACCCGTCTCTTCCACAAAATAAAAGAGACAACACTTCACAATACACCTCACCTAACCGGTTATGTCATCATAAAAGCAAGAAGACGAGAAACACCAAACTCGAACATGTTGAACGGTCTGAACCATGATCTATTTTTCCCACAAAGAATCATACGCAGTCCGTGCCCTAGTCCCCTTACCTCTGGAAACTGGTCTGTGCCTATGAATTGAGCATCATGCCGTGATTGCAACGGTGGAAAGGGGACTACCCACCTATTCCCGATCCCCCCACTTCCACCTCATGCCGTGATTGCAACGGTGGAAAGGACAACCCTCCTGGGCTACTCCTCGCCGTGCCACGGCTGTAAATTACCTCCGATGACGCATTTACCTTGCAGTGAATTGAACTCAGTGAGTTATCTAACAGTAAACTGAGGCACTCCCTGATGACAGAGTTACCATGGACCATTAACTCAGTTAACTCAGTTACTGCTCAGCTATCACGCAGTGACTTCTTCTTACTTAACTCAGGAGAGAGCTGAGGGTTCTGGTGAGTTATCTAACAGTAAACTGAGGCACTCCCCGATGACAGAGTTACCATGGACCGTTAACTCAGTTAACTCAGTTACTGCTCAGCTATCACGCAGTGAGTTCTGCTTACTTAACTCAGGAGAGAGCTGAGGCTTCTGGTGAGTTATCTAACAGTAAACTGAGGCACTCCCCGATGACAGAGTTACCATGGACCGTTAACTCGGTTACTGCTTCACGCAGTAACTTCCCCTTAGTTACCAAGCTCAGGAGGGAGCTGAGGCTTGCCGTCAACTGCCACAGTAACTTCCCCTTAGTTACCAAGCTCAGTAAGCAATATCCATACTGAGCTCGTTGAAGTGCGAGTTGTCATCGACTGATGCTCTCACATGAGTTATCTTGCAGTCATGCAACTAGACGTACTTGCAAACTCCCTTTGCTGTCCACCGAATCACTCCGACAGGTGACTCGCAGCTATCTGCGGCGCTTCACTGCATTCTCGCCGACTAAACTGAGGTAAAAAAATATGGATTTACTGTCCGCAGTTAACAAGTGAATACAGAGCCACTGTACAGTTCATTTTCATTGCAGTAAGCTTCCCGTTAACTTAAGAGCGGATCTAGAGTTACTGCGCGAAAAAAAGGGAAAATTCCTGGGTTACTTTTCCGAAGTGCGTTTCCTTGCAGCTAGTTAGCTGATGTAAATCGGGATTTCCCCTCCGCAGTCCGCAGTAAAAGCTTGAACCCAGTCCAGATCTGATGCACAATTCACTGACGGACATGTCTTCCTATTAGCTTGCCTAGTTTGCAATGTGAACGAACAGCGCTGAATGCAATGAAAGCGAATCCGGCGGAGTTTCCGCATAGAAGGGAAATTTCCTCAGTTACCTTTCCTTGCAAACAATACAGGCGGGCGATCCCATCAGTTAGCCCTAGTTGATTTACTGAGGTAAATCAAGAGAGTAACTGCTGACTTTCTCACTGAGTTACTTCGCGGTTGTGCTGTTAACTAAGGTGGCTCTCCCTTCGACACCTAAGGTGGCTCCCTTTGTCGCCTTCTGGCCATTAAATCGTGTCTCAGTTATAGCTTAGGAGTACATTATTGTTGTGCTTCTCAGTTACTTAAGAGACAACTGGCATATACGGAAGAGCCCGTCTCACCCACCCACCCACCACAACAATACCTACTTTTCACACGAAAGTTGCATTGCATTTTCCAGGAATCACAGGACAGGAAACATTCGGCGTCCTCACAGACACTCCTCCACGAGCAGAGCATCCCACTAATGCCCTCAAACGCACGGTCATTCCAAGTAACACTTCTCAAAGATGGGCCCTGATCTACCCACTTCCCTCATATGCTGAGCTTTCGGCTGACTCGTCCTCTCTTGAAAACTCCTCAATTAAGATCCTCTGCCGAGGTGTTAGAGTCCTGAAATTCACCGCAAAAACATTAACAAACTCAGGTAAGGTCAGATACATGCTCACAAAATGGTCATTCCAAGTAAGGCCAGATACATGCTCGCAAAATCTGGTGATGTCACAGGTACATAGTACATACATTTAATGATTGCAACATGGATTACGACTTCAGCGCAAGATGGATTGCTCTCTCTCTCTCTCTCTCTCTCTCTCTCTCTCTCTCTCTCTCTCTCTCTCTCTCTCTCTCTCTCTCTCTC